AATTACCACGATTACAAATGTGACATTGAATACATCTAAATGCCACTTCAGATGCAGCTTCTGTGTTGATTTAATTTGCTTGGTAACAGCCCAAATGTCTTATTATTCTAATTCCCTGATTAAATGTAAGAATTTGACTCAAAAGATAATGGACACTTTTAGAAAAAATGGCTTTATAAAGGTAAAAATGCCCATAAAATGCAAAAATCAGTTTAAACTTATTGGAAAAGATTCATTTCTATCAGTATGAACTGACCACCACACAGAATATGAAGAATATTAAAAACATTAGGAGTCAGCTGTCTTCGGCAGTCCTTAAGGTACCAGCACAATAACACACTCAGCAAAATATCATCTAATTATCGTTATCGATAAAATCCCATAAAATATCGAGATATAATTTTTTGTCAATATCGCACACCCCTACTGATGACTATAGTGGCAGAGGTTTAAAACAGCTAGATAATGGGACTAACACACACAGAAAGACCAGTAAATCACTGTAAAAAAAGATACTGTGATTATAACAGTAAAAGACTATAGAAATTCTATAATAAAAACCTGGTTAATGGTAAGTTCCCCTACTATATACGGTGAACAACTGTGTTGGACATTGCATGTAATTTTACGGCAGTATGCAATTTTTTGAAGTGAAAAAGAATGTCAAATTTACAGTGAATAATCGTAAATTGACATTCCCAGAATTCCTTATTACATTTCACATTTGATGTTTTTCCATTTAAATAACTGTTTCTTCTTAGTTTTTCTTATCAGTTGTGCACATTAGGGTTGTACGTTTCATCTAATGTTGTTAAATTAATGTTTATTGGATTATTTCAGTTTCATGTGTGTAACCATGATGGTGTTTAGTGTTTGTGTGAATGACACTGTGCACCTTCTATATATGTTAGTATTTAAAAACATTTTGTGATGAGGTTGGGTTCATTGTGTGACTTTCTCACTTTCTGCTTTTGGTGGTTATCAGTGTATTAAAAAGGTACAAAACAGATTTAATTACTTCCATAAATTGGTATATTAACATCATATCAGTTACAAATTACGGTTTTTAAATGTAAATTTAAGTTAAATCCGTAAAACCTCAAATGTTGCTACCATAACCACAGCTGCCAGTTTTTTTCCCGTAAATTTTACGGATTTTTTTTTTAACAGTGTGAAGCTGTAAGCTACATAATAACAAAGCTGCACAACAAGCTGTGACACAACACCAGTCAATCACCATTAAGGGAATAAGCGAATCACTGCACTGACTTCAGATTTGAATACAAAAAGGGAAACAGTAGGCTTCATATAGGGGACAGGTAGGACAAGCTACACAAAATCGTGTTCAAAATCGCAGGCGATTCATTGCCGATTTTGAAAACGATTTTATGTAGCTTGTCAGTGAACTACGGCTCTGTGTGGTAAATGCCGCTCAATCTGAACGCATGTGCTGGAGATTTACTACTAATCACAGGAGCGGCTTTACTGACAAGATGCGCATGAAAATCGCATTAGATTTTTTGCACAGCCCTAGATGGAGCTAGACTTTAATTTACATTGCCCACATGAGAGCCACAGAGCAGCATGCTAACAGCAAGGCCACAAATCTGACCCCCACCTCTTTTTGAACAAGAACTTATAGTGTAATTTACAAATAGCACAAGACCTATGAAAACCAGACTGGAAAATGTAATAGGCAGTGCTACATAAAGTCATGTGTGTGAAGGCCAGTTAACACAGCACAACACAAACACACTCATCAAACAGATTCCTGACTCAGACTCCCCGCTGTCCATACCATCTGAACCACATTTACAACACAGACACACACAACTGTCCGAACTTAAGCACAGCTGCTATAAATAACTGACTCTCCAGGTAGCCTCTATTAGTCCCCGTATTATCATCCTGCATTTATGAGTTAGGTTTATGCTTTCTTCATGTTTAGGGAGCAGGGTGCGAACTACGGGGGAGCTAGGGGGAGCTCGGCTCCCCTTAATAAGACATGGGCTCCCCTGAAAACGTGATTTGTGAAATTTTGGGGGGTCTCAAAAAATATTGACAATGTGTTATTTTGACATGCAATTTCAGTTTTGTGTAATATGATCATTGTAAAACAAGTGGGCTCCCCTAAAGTCCACGGTATAGTTCGAACACTGCTAGGGAGTGAGGTAATTCACTGAAATCCACTCACTGTCTTATCTCAGCAAGAAAAATCAAAATTAAGAAAAGTAGATTGTTTAACTTAATAAGTTGTGATGAGCTGGTTTTAAAAGATGTGTATTATATAGTATCAACATTATTCTAAAGCACCACTAAAGACCAGGAAAAAGTGGTGGCTATATTAAAACTCCAGAAACATTAAGAAAACAAATGAATAAAGTAAAAAAAAATACAACATGTTTTCAATAAAGACTCCACACACTGATCCAATAAATATCTCTCAATGGAATAATAAAAATAACATCTTCACATAGTTCACTTTCAAACAAATCAAAATCAAAAGGGGAGAACTAACAAAGGGATGCAAAACCTCTTTCCCACTAAACCAGCCTCAAATTTCATCACTACATCAAATATTAAATTGTCCCAGAGATGCTTTATGTCGAAACAAAATTAGTATTTCCAAATAAATATTTATGGAAATACCTTCTCTCATTCTTTCATTCTCACAATGCTCCGTTAACCACACACCATTCAGTTATTCAAAACTGTTCAAATGTTTGAATTCGTTCAGCAGGGATCCTTTCCCAGCCTGGCCAAATCACTTCACACCAACTGGAAAAACACACACACACTCCTCAGTACTGCTATTGTTTCTTAAACTCCTCATTAGTACATCAGAGGGAAAACAATCAGGTTGTGTTAAAACAAACCCTGCTTCAGATTATCATATTTAAGTAATGAAGGCAATGTTAAAAGAGAAAAGTGAAAACTTTATGACTTTATAATGTTAAATGTTAAATAAATATAAAACAGGTAACTCAATGAAGCCATTTCAGACTTTGTGACTGTTGTTCAGTGCATTATGATCTCTCCAGCTACAATAAAACCTCCTTCTCACAGCAGAGAGTGAAAAAAGTAATAAACTTCAAACTGTGTGAACTTTGAACCAGGCAAGAACTATGTGTTCCATGCTCCTTAAACTTATTTTCTCCCCTTCACACCACAAGATCTAAAATCCACACCAATGTGGTTACAATTTCTTTGCTTGCAGTGCAGTACTATGCATCTTGCATGCTAAATAAACGTTTATTACCACTACTTTCTTAGAGAGTTAAAAAAGAAATGCAGCATTTCTCCAGCAACACTCCGGACTCTGAAAGTTTAAGAGCGTCAGGTTTGTGTTTGGATGTCCACATATGAGGATTGGGTTTAAGAAGTTGTGGCTGCATTCTCCTGCTGGTTGAGACGGCTCTTTAATAGCAGCCTTATGGATTTCCTTTAGCTTTTTCTGTCACTCTCAGCGTCTCTCGCTATCTCTCCAACCCTCAGAAAAGTCTTTTGAGACTCTGCAACAGCCCTTGACCAAAAGAGGCTTACTCTGAGGTATTTCCAGAGGATTTCTCCTCTCCTAAACGACAGTGCTCTTATGTGTTTACTAGGATGCCAAATCTGAGACAGACTGGCCCTCCCTCCACCCCTTTCTCGACTTCACAATACAGCGCTGTCACCATGCCTGTCAGCCTGCAATGCTTTCAACCCGCCGTGATCTATTACCTACAGAGAGAACTTGCATCTGTTCCTAGCCCTCACACGGTTCTTCCCACCACGTTCAAATAAACCATTTACCCATGTGAGCCGCCAGTGAAAAAGTTGACGCGCCTTTTGTCTAAACATGACTGCTAAAACATTCTCCTTGTTGGGCAAATTCAAGATAGAAACGCATAACTTTTTGCATGCAAGAAGAAAGGCGATAAAAATCCAAACATATGATTTTCAAATACATATGCCGCCTTTAAGATACCAAACCTACAGTGATATTTCCTCTCAAAATGATGTGCCTGTCAGAAATAAACACCTGGAAACCTGACTTTTCCTCTTCCTAGCATTCAAAGGAATAACAACACAAAACCTCCTCCTCTGGCTTCAAAGGCAGCAGCTGAAAGCGTGGAGAGCGTTTTAACAGACATCATTAAAGGGAAACGTGTATTCAGAGAGTGTTTCTCCTTTAATCACTTCTGGTAATAAGGCCTTTGGCTTTTATAGCTGGGCTCAAACTACAGAGTGTTTCCAGAGAGTACACTATTGTTCTTGGTGACGTCAGGAAACGATGGCACGATCGTTTTCAAAGCGCGTGAATTGGGTGGTCTGGAAGCGCGTGTGGCCCCTAGAAGCATGCAACGATCATTCTGCAACGCGAATATCGCGTATATACGCTTTTACCATCTATAACCCAATAAGGGTAGTTGACTTAACTTTTTTTTATTCAACATGGACTTTAAAATGTACGCATGCGTAAAGAAATGTATGTTTTCTAACGCCTAAACATTTCTTTCGAGTTTATCGCCATTGTAAATCACATTTTTGACTTCGCTAGATCATTTTTAAACAGTTCTGTGACGCAACAACTGAATTCTGAAATGTACAAATATTCAATTTATTCTCAGTTAATATGAGGTCGTAAAATCCCACGTATATAATTACAGAATAATTGGAATTCTTTGTTTAAAATAGTTTACACCGCTGATACTGCTTGATATTTCATGTCAACTACCCAAGAACTGAACTCATGCCGAACAACGGAAAGAAAAGAGCTGTATTACAGTATCACAACAAAACAACGTTTTTGATCAGTTGAAATACAAGCTTTAAAGTGCTCCATACAAAGTGCGCAACATTTCTCCAGTCAATAATAACTTAACACCCAAACAGTCGATTCCTACAGTCTTGGAATGAAATGAAGGCGAAGCGCAGACAAGTTCAGTTTGTCAAAGTCCAAAATCTTCACACATTTAACATGCACGTGTGATAAAAAGTCATGAACCCCGTTCACGTACCCGTGGAGACAGTCCGCAGGGATTTTTCTGCTGGGAGTCCTGCTGATCTACACGAGAGCTCGCGCAGTAATACTTCTGCTTAACCATCCAGTCATCCAGTCCTTTCCTCGCCAATATCTATCTATCTATCTATCTATCTATCTATCTATCTATCTATCTATCTATCACTAACAATGCTTTATTGACAGTATTGTTAACAATTACAATATTACCAAAGCAAATAAGGTAGGCTAATTGCAGCGCCAAAATTATGAACACCAAAAAAGTGTTTGTTAAAATAAAAATAAAAAAATGTATTAAAATTAAAAGTAAATAAAGAAATGTAGCTGATCTATGACATTTAAAGACCATTTGAGAAGAATAAAAAACCTATATCAACTTTAGCTCCCCCAATCCCTTATCCTGAGAATTTCTTTCTCTACAGTGCATTAAGAAGCCACAGCTTGACACAAGAACATACAGGTTATATCAGTCAAAATCAGCAGCTTAAGGTGCTTCTTTCTCTGTGCACAGTGTTCTACAGATGACAAACGCACAGTCTGTATTTGTGGTGCAGCTCATGATGCTTTTGGGAAACCCATTACTTGGATTCCAACTTGTCAGTTGGCATAATTTAAAATGATGCAGTGAAGTATTCATGAAAACAAATCCTGCAATTCTGTATCTATACAAAAAAATTAACTTCACAGCCAGTGAAGATGCAGACAACTGGCCATAAGCAAGCAAAGTGTGATGTAAATCAAGCACTGATATTAGGTGCCAAACATAAACAAACAAGTCAACTGAACTCCTTAAATCTTTCTAATGAAAGCTGAATGAGGTTAGAGAGAGTTCCGAAGAAAGACATTCCAGTGCATCACTCTCTACTCTTCAAGAAGACCTTTTCCAAGACAAGTCGTGCGTGTCCATGGTCTTGGAAAAACCCATGCACATACAAACAAACGTGCATATGCCAGAGTGGGGCATCAATGCCACAGCAGATTTCACATCCTGCCTGTCAAAGCAGAGGATTCTGGCTGGCTTTGAACCTCCCAGACACACACGCACATATACACGCACAGAGATGAGCATGTTATTATACCCTGCATACACATATTTTCTCTCTCTCTCTCTTGCTCACACACTAACACACACGCAAGGGCTGGGAACCAGCCGGCTAGTCGCTTTGACACACTTCCTGTGCTTTGAAGCGGCCAGTTGAGAGATGGCTTTTCCCATCATCACCTTTGAAGCCTGCGTGAGGAGGAGGCTGTGTGTGTATACATATGGGGGAAGGGAGGTACTGACATTAATTCATTGTAATGGCTCATCAGTTGCTTTTACTTTGCGAAACGATTAAAGCAGCATGCAGAAAGTTTTTGTATTTATCTAATCAAATAAATGATTCAATCTCATCACACATCCTGTGGTTCTTCTCATGATGTCCCTGCAGTTAAACTGTTACATTCCAAAATGTCCTTGGAATGATACATAATATTTTACCATTTTAAATCACCTGTAAACATTTGAGCAGATAGACAGACAGCAAGAAGAGTACAAGGCCAGCAGCTGTGGGGTGTTCAGTGGATATGTGACCGTTGCTTTTTTTCTTGCGGGACAAAAGAGTGCTGGGTGTGTGAGAGGGCAGAGGGCAACAGTCCTGCAGTACAGTGCAGAGTCCTGGGACGGCTGCAGAATGGGGCTTTGTAAAGACCCAGCATGCTGTGTGTCAGAAGAGGGGGGTCTGGAACAGTTGTGTGTGTTGGGGGAGGGTGGTGAGAGACAGCAGGCTGGCATGTGTGTAGTGTGTATGCCCGCTAGATTAGCACCATGACCCTGTTATGCAATGAGTGCAGACAGAGTCAAAGACAGGCTTCTCACGTGATGGGTAAAACAAGCCACCCTGTGTACTGCAGAATATTATTTACTTTAGAATGTAAAAAATCTGGATAGTTCAATAAAAAATCATTTATTTACTCTAATGTCATTCCAAACCTACATTTTTCCATATATTGTGATCCCAGTGGGATCTAAAACAGTACTGCTAACCCCATAGCCTTTATTATATTATATATTATATAGGGGAAAAAACTGAGACATTTTTCAAAATATCTTCTTTTGTCTTCCACTGAAGTAAAATTGGAACGACATGACAATGTCGACAATGCTTACTTTGAGGTGAATTATCCCTTTAAGAAAGTTTACATAAACCTAATTGTCCTATCAGACTTGATTAAAATTGCTTAAAAGACAAATAATTAAAGATGCATTGAAGCCCAACATGCTGTGCTCTAGGAGTAAAGCATCTTACTGGATAAGCTTTTTTAAAGGTTCATCCTGTAATTAAAAGGATGCTGATGTGGTGTTTTATCTTAAGGGCTCCTGGTGTAAAAAGGAGAAACTGTGGTGTCCCACTTAAGAATGCCGTTTTATCTGATGAGGCACACACAAACATCCGGATGCATACACATACTCAAACACATGTAGGGTTTCTCATAATCAGGCATCACAGCTGAGAGTGTTTAACACAAGACATTAACGCTGGTTATAAGCAGATGCATTTATATGCACTTTAAAAGTTTGATTTCAGTTGGACTAAAGCAATAACTCGATTTTTTAACATGCAAACTCTTTAGTCTGACTGAAATTGTATTGTGTGTGTTGGTTTTTGTGAAGTGGGACTAACAGATAATGTGATTGTAACTTGGCTTCATCCAGCATGTACAGTATACACATTAATCGGACTATACAGTTGGCATTTGAGAATGTCTCCTTCATGGTTATCAGTGACACTCAACACTGTGCTTTGTGTGGACAAAGTAAATATTACTCTGTCATACTGATCTAAGACCCGTTTTTGCAGCCTAGAATCCTTTTTTAAACATTACTAGGAAAATCACGAATTCGATCACTGGGCAGTGTAAAAGTAAAACTTCTTCCAAAGTGGTTATCTGAGTGTGTGTCCCCTCTCTGTGCTATATGTGCCCTGCACTGGCTGGTTTTGAAGCAGTTGGGGGTTTTGCCCCATCCAAAATGAGGACACAATTAAAGCGCTGAGCGGAGAACAGTGGGGATCCCTCTTTGAAGTGTGGATCAAATAGAAGAGCCGCATGGTTTTGTTCAGAATGACAGAGCAGGCAAACTCACCACAGCCTGGCTAATAGAGAGAGCGCTTTATGATGCTCGTTAATTATCCTTTCTGTCACAGGCCATAGAGAGGAAGAGAGAAAGGAGAAAGGAAGGAAGAGAAGGACAGAGTATGAAAGAAAGCTACTGTAATGGCATAGTGGGTGGATGTAGGTGAGTGGTAGACTGCATGCGGAGAACACTGAGACGGCTGGAGGGAAATGGCATGTGGTGAATAGGAGAAAGACAGACATGATGATGAAATAAATGTTGGTTAGTATGAGTTTAAATAGAGTTTGGTGGTTATTTTGAATGGAGCAGATGGTCAGAGAGGGAAAACCAGAAATAAGGACAACAACAACGACTAAACAGGAAGCAAAAGTGGAGGGAAGAAACAAAGCAAAGAGAAAGGGAAGCTAGAAATAAACAGTTTCCTGAGATAAGAGGTCCCACCAAGACAAATCGAGGCTTTAAAGTGTGAGACGCTCCCTGGGGGCCGCTGCACTGTAAACCTTTAACCATGGCTTCAGAGACAAATCCTGCACCTGATCCAAACACCGGCCATCCTAAAGCATCCTCTCTTCTCACTCTCTCTCTCTCTCTCTCTCTCTCTCTCTCTGAGCTTATTCTTCCATGAAGTGACATGAATCCTTCCACGTAGCTTAAATGTGAATAAAACATTGAGATCGGCACAAAAGCCAATATCCATAATGAGAACATTCGAAAAATCCACAGCACTCAAACTCAGACAGAAACACAAACTGCTAAAATGCTAAGAAAATGTTCGGTTTATACTGATCTGAAAATAGCAGAAATGAACCAGATTACTCTACTCTTATGTCTTCATCCTAGTATTAAACTAATATACATAGTACAGTACATAATTTTCGTCATCAGCACAGTCGGCTGATGTCTGCGCACACAGTCTGCACAGAAAAGTATACCCGGGCCTTGGGAGTTATTATGAAAGCCTAAACATGTCTATTGTGATCAAAAGGTTTGTGTAATACTGTGAGCAGTCTGATGGTTTATTTGAAGTCCAATATTTGACCTTTAACCTTTTACTACATTGAAGGCATTGTGTGGAAGAGACTGTTGTTCTCAGAGGAGTCAAATGGAGGTGCAGATGGCAGTCAACCCTAGATATACGAAGAAAGAGAGGGAGGGTGATAATATATCCATGTGTACTGTACTTCATGGAAAACAAGCTTATAAATCATACAGAATTAAGTTTTTTGAAAATCTAAAAATGTAGTAGTTTTCTGTGAAGGGCAGGTTCAGGGTAAGGTGATAGAAAATAGTTTGCATAGTGTAAAAACCATTACATGGAATGTCCCCATAAAACATGGAAAATCAGTGTGTGTGTACTGGTACACATACAGTACGATATGTGGACCGAATGTCCCCACAAGTATAGTAATACCAGTCAATTTTGATCTAATGGGGACATTTTTTGGTCCCCATGAGGAAACAAGCTTATAAATCATACAGAATGAAGATTTTTGAAAATCTAAAACTCTAATTTTGAAAATCTAAATTTCTGTGAGGGGTAGGGGTAAAGCCTGTGTTATCCTTTCCTCGTGAGCAATCCAGACACGTACACAGACAGCTCGGATGCGGACTACTTGTATTTATACTACCAAAAGCATACGCTGATGGTCTGCTCCGCGGACGTGTTCCATACATGCGTAGTAGATCGGCTTGAACAATAAACAAACATGTGAACAAACAATTGCCCAGAGTTATTGCACATCTGGCTGTCTTTATATTGTTTTATCGACGGATTGTACAGGTTCGAGAAGCAACGTGCTTCTTCACACAGCCTGCGCCATAGAAAATACAGTTCGTACATTAGAAAAACCATTATGTCTATGGAATGTCCCGACAAAAAAAAATCAAAACCAGTGTGTGTGTGTGTGTGTGTGTGTGTGTGTGTTGAATGTCCTTATAATGAGCTTACTATAGCATGAAAAGCAAACAGAAGAAAAGAGAAACAGATTTAA